ATGGGACGGACCGAAGTGGTCCTTCAGACCATAGAGCTGATTCAGCAGATTAAGCAGAGACTGCAGACCGCTCAGAGTCGGTGGAAGAGCTATGCCGACCGACGTCAATCCGAGTTGGAGTTTCAGGTCGGCGACATGGTATTATTGAAGGTCTCACCTTGGAAAAGTGTGATACTCTTCAGGAAGATAGGGAAGTTGGGCCCCCGATATATTGGGCCTTTTCGAGAAATTTCCAAGGTTGGCAAGGTTGCTTACATATTAGATCTTCCTGAGGAGCTCAGTCAGATTCACAACACTTTCCACGTTTCGCAGCTGCGAAAGTGCGTATTGGATGAGGATGCAGTGGTTTCCTTGGATGATATTCAGGTTGATGAACGTCTGAACTATGGTGACAGGCCGGTGCCTATCCTGGAAAGAAAGGTGAAGGTTTTGCGTACAAGGAAGTACCTTTGGTAAAGGTACGATGGCAGTGCCAGAGGGGCTCCGAGTGGACCTGGGAGTCGGAGGCTGAGATGCGGGAGCATTATCCAAATTTGTTCACCGCAGTAGACTTCGAGGACGAAATCTAGTTCAAGTGGGGGAGAATTGTAACATCCCGATGTTCAGGTACTTCTAAGTTTACCCCTTTAAGTTTATTATATGTCAAATTGGTCCCTAAGTCCAAGAGGAGTACGCCAAGCGTACAAGTGTGTACGATGAGTGTACTAGGGTGCACCCTAGTACGTTGGGCGTACACTTATGTATGCTGGGCGTACTAATGTTAGGAGGAAACCCTAATTTTTAGGGTTTGGGTGGTATTTAAGCAACGTTATGGCTCATTTCTCCCCACCTTTTCAGCCTCCACATCCTTTGAGACATTTCTGCAAACCGTAGCCCCTTAGTGTGTGTTTTGAGCTCAAGAGTGTGTTTTTGGTGTGTTAAAGAAAGAAGAAGTTGCATCAAGAAGCCTTGAAGTGGAAGCAAGCTTGTGGATCTGAGATCTTAGCCTTCTTGAGAAGCTCCAGAAGGTATAAAGTCTATACCTTGATGTCTTGGTTGTTAGATCCCATTTTTGGGGTGTTTTATGTTGTTTTTCTTCTCCCAAAGATCCCATATTGTGCATAGTTGGTTATGGTCGTTTTGAGTTGTCCTTCCAGACCCTAGGAAGGGTCCTAATCCATAAAAATGAGGTCCCAATTGCTAGAATTGTTTCATGCATCTTGTAGAAGGTCTTAATGGATTAAGACCTTGTGTTGAGAACTTTGTGGACTTGTAAAGTCATAAAGTTGGAAACCTTATGATTCTAGGGTGCTTTTGGACCTTAGATCTGAAGTATGGGCTTGAGTGCTTAAGCCATTAAGCACTTAATGAAGTTTTTAGGGTTGCGAGGTTAGGCCCCACGTACATAGGAGTACGCCCCGCGTACTCGGTCAACCACCCCAATGGTGGTCTTCTTCGAGGCTTCGCGTACACTAAGCGTACCTCCGGGCTACTCCCCGCGTACTCTCATGGGTCAGCCTTTGTTGTGTTGACTCGGTTGAGTTGACTCGGCTGTGTTGACTCGGTTGAATCAGTGGGTTGACCAGTTGACTTTGACCAAGTTTGAACAAGTTTGACCTTGAGGGTATTTTGGCTATTTTTGGATTTTAATGGAATTGGTCATTTGGTGGAAATATGGTATCATTTAGAGATCTGAGATACGGAGTCGGGCCTCATTAGTTCTCTTCATTTTGCGAGGTGAGTTTCCTCACTGTACTTTTGGGTCGAAGGCACCAAGGTCGGCCCCTTTGGATTGTTATCCTGGTTTATCGCATGCTTGTATGTTGTAGTGATCTGTTAGATCTGTGTCCTGGTATATAGGATGATGTTATGCTTAATGATCTGTTAGATCTGTATGACTGTCTGTATATGCTAGCTAGGGTTTGATATGGTATATGCTGATATTTGATGGTATGTTGGGATGAGGCGGTCCTGCTATGTGCTCAAGGCCAAGAGACCCAGGGCGTCCCGGATAGACTGCAAGCCGGTAGGGCGTACCAATCAGGCCGAAGGCCCGGAGAATGTTCCAGACATGCTAAAGGCCCAGTGAGGTGTACGAGTCATGCTGAAGGTTCTATAAGCGTACCAGATAGACTGTATGCCATTGGGGCGCTCCAGTTAGACTGAAGGCTTTGTATGCATGTTGTTTGTTATTATTATTATGATTATGTGTTGTGATGGTACTTTGGGGGAAATTCACTAAGCTTTGGGCTTACAGTTTTGGGTTATGTTTCAGGTACCTCAGATGACCACGGGAATGCGAAGGCGTGATCGTGCACCTCCTCATGTTTGATTTATGATTTTGGGAAAACTTTGATGTTAAACATGTTTTGAAAACTAAATTATAAAAAATGATGATTTGTGGATTGGTTTTAAAAGTTTAAATTTTTCATGAATTTTATGGATGTTACAATATATATAAAAAGAGTGAGATGAAACTTGATGCTAAATCACCTAAGTATTCTATAAGTTCTCTAGCAGCATCAGGATTCACTTCAAGTTTAAGAGGTTGAAAGCAAAAATCTCAAAAAAAAAAAACTTATCAAAAAAACATATTGTTCTATAAAGATTAAAAATGAGAAATGTAAGTCATTCACAAGCAAATGTCAAATTAGAATGAAAGCATACATGGTTGGATTTGTTGACTCCATCTAGTGTAACACTCATATTTGCAAAAACATGTGACAGAATTACATACATTAATCCTTAATGCATTATACAAAGATTCAAAAGAGTAGATTATTTACAAAGATAAAAAAAATCAAGAGCCCAGTTGCATTTTTCGTATTTTAAACCATTTTTATCAAAGATGGTTATATTTTGAAGCACCACAAATTTGCACTCTCAACATAATCATAAATCAATCCAAAATAGTTGACTTGCCACCACCAATCAGGCCTATATCAGATATTGATGAACTCAAGTATGTTTAGAGGGATTAGAAGATTAAGGATCAATGAAATGTGGAGGTTTTTTTGCGTAATTGAACTGATATCACCATTTGTTGCACTCAAAGAAAATATAGGCAATCTTTTTTAGAACATAATAATAGCTATCGATTAATCAAAAAACCGAAAATCAAAAATAATTATGTAGAGATATGACGTTTTATACCTAGCTAGATCCTTCAACATAATCAATTGACATATTGGCCACTTTTTGCTTCTCTATGACCAATAGAGAAGATATTTCAACAAAAAAAAAAACATGAGTGAAGAGATGAAGTTTAATGTATCACAAGAGGATTTCAATTCAGATACAACTGAAAGATGGTAGAGGAGAATGCATCAACAACTTGTGTGACCTCGCCGAAACCATAGAACTCTCGGGTGCCGACTTTACCATAGATTCGAAAACCAAATAAAACCATCACATGCGTGTCAATTAATTGACGAACAAAAGTGTCATGGGAGGAAAAAGAAGAGGAAAACCCAAATCAACGTACCTAAATAAGAGCACCAGAACACATGTTGGGAGCATAGTACCCATAGACATGACTTTTGATGTGCTATTGTTTTGCTGCACCATATAATCAGTCAATGCGGAAGTAATTAAGCGTGTAGAAACGTCACAGAAAGAAAAAGAACGACAAAAAGTATTTCGAAAAGAAAAGTATTTTGTACATTTCTTGGTACAAACAACCTAGATTTGCATTGTTTTGGGAAAAAACTTATAAAATGGTCAATCATCAAATTAGTATATTCCCTTGAACGTTTCATCTTCACCTTGTGGTTGGTGGTATGAATGGCGGGAGCATGTCCAGTAGGATGGCGACGTTGGTCAATCGTGGCGAATGATCGTCGTCGTCGTGGTGGATGAAGGCAGTCAGTTAAGCAGTAGTGCAAAAGTGGTGGTTGGTGGTGGCTGTCAGATTTTGTAGTTAGGGTTTATAGGAAACAAATTAGGGGGAAAGAGAGAGTGTGTGACAGAGAGAGTGTGTGACAGAGAGAGAGTGTGAGAGAGATTTCAAAATAGAATAGGAGGCAGAGAAATGTGGTGGGGGTCGAATTTTGCAGTTAGATTTCCAGATGAAGAACCCAATTTTATGTTCTTCCGATGGGGAAGAAGGTGAGATTCAAGAGATAAGGTACTGAAATCAGGGTGGTGGTTCTTGATGGAGAGTAAAAGTACAATGACAGTTGCGTTCTTGGCGCAGAGGAAAAGCGGCGATGCGCATAAGTGTTGGTGGAGGTCACCGGTCAGGGAAGAGAGGAGGAGGAGAGTGGCGATGGTGATTGCGTTAACAGATGACGGATATGACTGGGGCGACATCATCCGTTTTTGAAGAGTAAATATGAGAGAGCGTGTGTTCATCATTTAACGAAATTAAGGAGATAGGGCTGAAATAATTAGCATTCAAGTTTATATGTAACAATTAACTCCTTAAATTATGCATAAATACATGCTCGATGATATGGGATAAGAGAAGAACGCAAGAAAATTTTGTGAATTGTTGAATTATTCTCCCTATCCATCCGTAATTAAGGAATTTGAAATTTTCCTTGACTTTTTGACTTCTTGACCGGATAAGTCTGTGATGCATAAAACGATTGTAAATATTGCAATAAGGTTTGTACAACTTAAAATTCAACATTTGACTAAATATGCTTTATAAGGTATAATATATATATATATATATATATATATATATATATATATATATATATATATATATATATGCCTATCGTAGTTCTTTCATTAACAACTAAAAACATAATGTCAATAAACATTTGACTTCATTGAGCTATTGTTGTTATTAGAGTGACACACCGCTAACTTGTTTTTACAATATATATTCACATTCCTATCAATGTCATATTCTACTTGCAATTTAGTGACTCACATAAGATAACTACTCTTAAAAACATGAAAATATAACTTGGAGCGACTACTATTTTGACACCAAACGAATTACGAGTTAGAGAAACCAAGGACCTCTACACTCTATAATTCATGTTTCTCTTACTGATGATGTTCAAGTGATGGAAAAAAATGGAACAAGTGACTTACAAGTTCCTAAGGTTGTCATGCTCTCTAATGACTTGAAGATTATTTCTAATAGCATGCTAGATGATAAGAGTGATGGTCATATTACAGATGTGGAAAACACTACTGAACAACAAAAGGGTGAACAACAAAAGGGGGTGCAAGTTGATGATGATGAAACGGCTGTTACCAATGGTGTTTTTACTAGTACTTATATGCATAAAAGAAAAGATAAAGACATAAACTTCGAGGTGGAAATGAAAGTTAATGATTTGGGGCTTCTATCTGAGAACCAAGGTGGAATGAATGGTATAGGTTCGATTGCTAAATGTTATACCATCTTTCCTAGGTCAAGGAAAAGAGAAAAATCTAGGGTAGATCATGGATTACTTATTGTTAATGATCTCTTATTGAAAATGGTGGAGTTATGGGTTATTATATGGGAGTTTGTAAGTTGAGCCTTGAGAGAGAGAGAGAGAGAGAGAGTAGGTGTGTTGGGCATTAATCGATGAATATTATGTCCATTAATGCAAGGAGATGGATCAAAGGGTTGTGTTTTCAGCACGGAGTGTCATTTCATGGTGTTCAAGAGACTATCATGACGAGGGTTGAACTTTTTAAAATTAGGCCCATGTGGGGAAACTTTAATTTTGAGTTTGCTTGTAGTACAACGTGTGGTCACTCGGATGGTATTGTTTTGGTTTAGGACCCATCTATTTTCTTTAAAGATAACATTTTTTTCTCAGATCACTTTGTTATTGTGGAGGTCCATTGGTTTAATAGTGATGTTACATGTTTTGTGATTAACATATATGCACCATAGGAGCTAGCGGTAAAAGTTAAATTATGGAGGGAGATTTCGGTTTTTATGGCCGAGCATGGTGGTTGTTATCTGTTGTTTGGCGATTTCAATGAAGTTCGGGTTGAGGATGAACAATTTGACTTAGTGTTCTCTCAACAGGGTTCGAGTATTTTTAACCGGTTTATCCATGATATGGAGCTATTAGAGATACACCTTGGAGCTAGAAGATTCACATGGATGAATAAATGGGTACTAAAATGTATAAGCTTGCTAGGTTTTTAGTCTCTTAGGACTTGCTTGATTTATTTCCAGACATGACAGTTGTGGTGTTAGAGAGGAGATGGTCTGTCCATAATCCCATTCTACTTCATAGGGTGAAGGCTGACAACGGCCCAACCCCTTTTTGTGTATTTCATTCATGGAATATGGTAGATCGTTTGATGATGTAGTAAAAAATGTTTGGTATTCTGTGGTTGTTAATCAATATGACAAAAAGAGTATTGCATTCAAGAATAAAATGAAAGAATTAAAAACGGTTTTGAAAGGGAGGAATAAAGATCTTCGTGATCAAGAGAAAGGAAAAAAGGTTTCCATTGTTATTGATTTAGATGTTCTTGATAAAAAAAATTGATGATACTGTTTCCACATAGGAGGAGATACGTCAAAGAATTATATTACTTAAAAAATTACAAGATATTAAGCATCATGAAGCGCTTGATTTCACTCAAAAAACTACAGTGAATTAGGACATGGATTGGGATAAGAACTCAAAATTTTTTCACAGGATGTTGAAGCAAAGAAGAAGACAACAAGCTATCCAGGGTATCATGATGGATAGAGTATGGTGTATAGATCATATTGGTGTTAAACAAAGTCTTTCTAAACTTTTTTAAATCCAAGTTTGCTTATAATTAGGATATAGTTCCAACGGCTTTTATTCCACGGTTTGGTTCATTGTGTGAAATGGATCGTTGTATGTTGGAAGGGGTGTGTCTGTTGATGAAATTAAAGAGGCAATATGGATGTGTGGTGGTGATAAAGTGCCAGGGCCATATGAGTTCTCGTTTAACTTTATAAACTGATATTGGTCACTTTTACAGGATGATATAGTGGTATATGTGTTGGAACTCTTTTCCATAGGGATAATTCCTCACGGGTGTAACGGGTCATTTATAACCTTAATTCTGAAGGTTAAGAACCCACTTTTAGCTACTTATTTTAGACCGATCTCACTTATTGGTGTTCAGTATAAAATCATAGCTAAGATCTTAGCTACTTTTTTGGCAAAAATAGTGAGTGGGTTGGTTTCTGAGGTTCAAATAACATTTGTCAAAGAAAGACAGATTCTTGATGGTCCTCTAATGTTGAGTGAACTTATAGACCGGTACAAAAAGAAGAGACCGAAACTCTTAATTTTCAAAGTAGATTTTGAAAAAGCATATGATATATTGACTTGGGAATATGTTGACAATGTTATGGATGCTCTTGGTTTTGGAGAGGGATTCGTTCATGTCTATCGTCTGCCAGAGTGTCGATCTTAGTTAACATGAGTCCGACTAAAGAATTCTCCTTAGAGCGGTGTCTTAGACAGAGTGATCCGCTATCTCATTTCCTTTTTATTCTCGCCATGGAGGGGTTATATGTTATGATTGAATATGATGTAGCCAATAATTATTTTCGAGGTGTTCATGTGGATTATATGGATTTCCGCCTCTCTCATTTGTTGTATACAAATGATGTTGTTTCTCTCTCAGATTAGGCATCTAATCAAGTTGATGGTATTTCTCGGCTTATCCAATAGTTTTATGTGGTTTCTGGGTTGAAATTAAATATGACAAAATCTCAATTATTTGGTGTGGGAGTGGATTTTTATGTAGTTTAGGATGTTGTTGCTTGTAACGCCCCGCAAGTTAGGCTAGACATTAAAAGAATAATAATAATAAATATTCTTTTTATTGAATAATTAAAATCCTCGAATAGGATAATTATTCGTCATATGCGTTACCGGCTATATAAATATCTATTTAATATATGCACGTTATGTAAACAAATATTATGAATATATAATATTTGTAGAAAATTTTATTATAAAATTTATCATTAACCGATAAAATAAATGTTAAAAATAAAAAGATTACTTATGATAAATAATTTTAACGAAAGTTGTAACGAACCTAAAACCTCAAATTATATGATGTATTTGGTCTAGATACAGTCAAAAGTGAATCCAAGTAGTGAAACGGTATTTTTGTGACACCCATTTTTCGACAATAATTGTTCAGATATATTTTGCGGCGTTAACAATCGGTGATTAACTTTTATATGTTGTAAAATAATATTAATCAAACTAATTGCTTCATATACGATGGATTAATTAGATAATAATATAAGACTGATTATTTATTAAAAACAAATATATATGGAGAGTTTTAAGAAATTATGTTATATTAAAGAATCATTATATATACATATATCTTATATCTTATATGTGTGCGTTAGTGTGTGTGGTGATTGGATAATATATCCAATTAATCCATTAAAGAATTAGATGAATTGGTGGTCGTGTTTAATTGGCTGGAATGTTGTGTATGTTTTTTAGTATGACACGTATTTATTAGGATCAGTATGTACTAGTCACTGGTACTTTCATGTGTATCTATTACTTCTTAATCAATAAGAAAATCTTGTTTTGTCGTGAGCTTCATATAAGAGTATAAATAGATGGTTTGGTCTTACGAGTTTATTACTCAAGAAAACACTCTTCAAATGATAGAAAAAATATAAATATTCTAAAAATTTTAAGAATAAAAAAAATCTCATTGGTCGGCATGTCGGCGCGTATCACAGTTAAAACGAGATAAGGTTTCGGCAAGTTAATAAGTTGGCAAGTAGTGTTAAGGTTGGAGCCACGATAATAGTTAGTCTTCACTAACTAGTCAAGTGAGTGCATAGTTACTTTCATTAACATGATTTTAATACAAATATTAATTAAAATATTAAATATTTCTTGAAAGTTTATATGTCAATTATATGTTTATTGCCTGAAATATATGTTAGATATATATTTGATGATATACGATGTGCGAACCAGTTATGGTTCTATATGTGTTAAGATGTATATATATGATATTATTACGTGATAATAATAATAATAGAAGTATTATTTCTAAAAAAAGTAAATTAATACCTTAAACTTTGTGTTAAGTATACACTAGTTAGCGTTGCCTAAACGGAGTTGGTATTGAAAATTGAGTATAAGCATTGTAGTTTTTCCTAGTGATGGGATAAGACTTAAAAATGGATGTTTAGTTCAATTAAGTTTGGACATTGGGTAGCCTCTTATTAAGAGTACGTGTGTGCTGAGATTGATGATCGGTAGAGTACGTCTTACGTACAGAAGTACATTTTATGTACGAAGTCTTTTTCAAAGCTCTGTGTCTCAGCTGCTACTTGTGTCGGGATATTATTATGTTCTGGGGTACGAGTCCTACTCATACTCGGGTACTATAATGTGCCAGAAGTACTATCATGTACAAAGTCTTTTTTTGACACTATTGTGTGTCGGTTACGGGAGCGTACAGGAGTACTCTATTAGTATTTCCCCATACTTTTATTTTGAAGAGCTTTGGAGTCATCATTTCTTTTATGAAGTGATCGGACGAGCTTCATGTGTCAGCGTTTCCTTTCACGAAGTAATTGAGGGAACTTCGTAGACTGCCTAATAAAGTGTGTCAGTAATAGACCACTACCAGGTATGTCTGATGTTGTATTGCCAAATAGGGTGAGTCTGGGGGTAAAATACCTCATGGTGTCAGACCACTGCTAGGCACAATTATCTAGATAACTACCCCTGACTTAACTGTCTTGTGGTTTTTACAAACGGAGGTTTATGGTGAAACTTATTTCATTCCCCTCATTTGATGTCTTTATTGATCCTCGTTTGCTGCCAGGAAAATTTCCGAAGCAGTGTCGTCAGTTTGTTGTTCATATTGATCATTTAGGCTAGATCTCGTAAGATCATTGTATAGGATCAGTATGTGGGGATCGACGGGATGAGTTAGATTGTTTTTGAGATATGATATATCTATGTTAATGATAATAGTGGTTTTGCAGGTTTGAGATATACATTATTATCACATTGTGGGATTGAAAACCCTATGTATCTCACCAGGTTTCCCAACCTGGCCCACTCAATTTATATGCATCGTTAGCAGTGTAAGACTACTGAAGACTCGAGTACAATGCTGAGAGAAGACATGCAATAGAGTTCAGGACCGCTAGGTCTTTACACTGTAATATATGTTGTGTATCAGTTATGACATCCCTAGAGTTGTATTATTTTGAGACAATATTTTGTACTCAAATTGTTTTAATATACTGGGAATTTCCGCAATAAAAGATATTATGATTTTTAAAGCGTAAAGAAATTTTTTTCGGTTCTGAAAATTAGGAATGTCACAGTTGATATCAGAGCATTAATTTAAGCGAACTACGAATTGTGAGGATTTCTAGACTTAAACTTAGATTTCTAAGTGATGATGGTGAGGTGTGTGTCTAGTATACTTTAGGTTGAATACCTAAATTAATATTAAAAAGACACAAGCACTAAAATATTTGAGGGTATATGCCTTAATTAATATTATGTGCTAATAGAAT